GTCAGGCAATTCTCGGTATCACGCTGCCTGTGGGAATGGGGCAACTCTACACGGGAAGTAAAGATCGAAGTGTTCGCGTATGGGATTGCACGAGTTTTTTGGAACTTCCCGTTTCCTTTTTGATGTTTTTGGAAATCCGAAATGCTGATTGGACTGTTATAATTGCCATTCTTCCATTTGTTTGTCAGGCAATTCTCGGTATCACGCTGCCTGTGGGAATGGGGCAACTCTACACGGGAAGTAAAGATCGAAGTGTTCGCGTATGGGATTGCACGAGTGGTCAGGTGAGCATCTGTGGAACGCTAACACTCTTTTCGCTTCTCTTCTCTCTAAATTGCCTGGAACATTAGAACTTCTTTCAGTCAACGCTCTTTGAGGACTCCCAGATTGTGGTTTCTAGGATCTATTCATCGAAAACCCTCGTGTATGCCAGTGCACGTAGGCCAATGGGCACCTGTGGTTCCCTAAAACTGTTCTCTTCTTTTCTCTTCCCTCTGTCAAGTGTCTGCAACTACAGAACTTATGTAAGTCTAGAACTTCCTGGAGTCAAAGTCTCCTAGAGGATTCATTCCTCTTAAACCCTACTGTCGTCCTCAGAACATAATGCGAATGCGTTGTATTTAAATATACTAGCTGTTAGAATAGCACGCATATGCCTCGTATTCGAATAGAAAACAGCCTATGTGTTGAAATAGAAGGCATCCATATGTTCGGGGGAAGACATTAGTTATGGGATTGCGAAAGTGGGTCCATGCGCATCTTTGGAACCTGAACTATTTGCTTCTCTTCGCTGTAAAGTGTTCGCAATTCTAGAACGTGTGGAAGTCAACCGTCCTGGAACTACGAGGCCGTAGTCTCTGGTCGGACCTATTCCTCTGCAGCCCTAATTCTAGAACGGTCTTCTTTTTCTTTCCCAATTTAAGTTTCTAACATGATGACCTCATGACGCTCCGTGCACCTATGGAGTCTGGACCCATGGGGTCTTTGTAAATTGACAAGTTCATAATTTGTTTAACTCCCTAATGTTGTTTTCTTAAACCACCACAACCTCCGAGCCTGTTTTTGCCGACCTTGATTTTCACTGCGCACCAAGTTTTGCCGAGCCTGGGGTCCGTTTGTATCTTTTCTGGTACTCTCTGAAAAATGGGAAAAAAAAAGCACGGCTAGAATTTGGAAAAGCAACGCGCTCCGCAGAAAAGAAAAAGAAAAGAAAAACAAACACCCCTTTGGACGTGATACCAGGTAGATACCTACCCCAAAGTTGTTGTGTGAGTATGCCCTCAGCAAGGGCGTTACGCCAGGGGCCACGGGAGAAGAAAAAAGAAAAGAAAACATTGAAACTGTACTGGAGCGGGAAAGCGGGTTCATACATTTTGTAAAGTAGTAGTGTGGGATGCCCTCCTCCACAAAGTGTCAGCAGCCCGTGAACTGCGCCATGCCTCCCTGGCAGGGCACCAAAGCAGAAAAAAAAAGAGAGAAACCAAAAGCACGAACAATGAAAAACTGAAACTGGCCACAATAGTAGTTAGATACTTTCTTGCGAGTATTGGTGTGAGCACAACTTCGTGCAAGTCCTTCCCGAACTCGGTCTTTTTTTTTTCTTTTTGTTTTTCAAACGGGCCCAACTGCCGAGCCTCTGCAGACCCCCGAAAATTTTGGAAAAAGTGGGAAAACTGAATTCTTGATCAATACACACAAAAAAAAGGGTGAATCTGGTGGTCCACTTCACACAATTCCAGGGGTTCTAAAGTCAACAGTACTTCGAAATTGCACACCCAAACCAAATCGCTTTTCACACGGTCAGTACATACCAGGCTAAAGTCATCCTTCCCTGCCAACCCTCGCACCCCACACATTCCCCCACGACCCCCCTTCGGCTGCCGCACGCCAACAGGAAAGGGAAAATGTAGTAACCTGGGGGCTTGGGCACTCACAAGTCCCATAATGTATGTGGAGTGTCTTTTGTACCCTCGCAATATTGACGGTTGTAAGTTCTGACATCGGGTCTGATTATGCCTGGCGGAAAGCATTTATATCACTCCTATTTAATTGATGGCTGTGGTTTTGCATGACGGTAGGTAGATAGGGACAGTGTGAGTCTCATTTTGTAGCAACCGGGCTCTATGTAATGTGAATTGGAAAGACGCGATCTTTCCTGAGGCAAGCAGCCATTTATTGATGTTATTGTCTTGGGAGGGGTTTTGTTTCTTTTTCTTTCCCCTCTATGGCGAGGAAGAGTGTGGAAAGGTGGTGTTTTTTTTTTTGTTTTTTTTTTGTTTGTGTGTGTGTGTGTGTGTGTGAGAGAGAGAGAGGTGCCTAATTGACGTTGTGTGGTTAGTGTACAGGAAATGTGGACACGGGGGGCAGCGTTGGTGCTTTGCTGAGCGAAGGGGTGTGGTTGTTCGTTGGACTTCCAGATGAAATCCGGGTAAGCGAACGGCAATTTAATTCCTCTTCAAGTTCAAAGTCCATTCGGATCTGCCATGTGCTACTGAGTAGCAGAAGTAGTTCCTTGTTGTATGCACTCTATTACATGTGGGAGTCTGTGGCACCTTCCTGCATTTGGCTTTGCCAGCATTTGGCCTTGGGTTATTGTTTGAATTGCTAAGTTTGGATTTTGGATTGGGCCAAATGGATTTTTTTATATTTTTTCTTTTTCAGTTCTCTTCTTTTGACTAAGAATCCTTTGCATTCAAGGAAACATTGGGTAGTTGGGATTGTTTCCAGGGAATGCATAAGGTCTTTGAACTATGGGAAGGGCGAACACACCCTTGATCGGAACCCTTGGCACCCTTGATCGGAACCCTTGATCAAGTGCAGATCTTTCAGGGATTTGAATTGAAACTCGAGGTTTATCCCCGATTGACACTCTGTCTGTGGTTCTGCATGCGTGTATGTGCTGAATAATGGATTGGATTGAACATGGCTTGTGGCCTTAACACCTTCACGTATGCACGATCGCATGTGCTCAACCATGAATGGCATTATGCCTGTCACATCGTCATGCACATTATTGAACTGAGATAATTGCAGCGCAATCCAAATCGTGTGTTATATCGTGCTCCTTCAGGCGATGCACCTTCTCTTTACAAAAACATATGCAGTTAATTCCTGGTTGTCTTCCCATCTCTGCAACTTTAGGGGGTATCTGCCACTATGTCAGGACTTGCGGTGTATTTTGTGTTATCGGATGGACGACTGGCTGTTTTCTTTCCCAAACTAGACAAAAGTGAGATGAAGTCGGCAGGATCTGTTTTCTGTATGAAAAGGGGAGCATTTGTCAGTTTAGAGATTTTGCACTGTTTGTTGTATGCATTGGATAGCAACAAAGGCCGTGGATTCCCGGAAGTGATGTGGCAGTTGGGTTTACTTTTGGCAGGTAGCGTGGAGAATGGGAGTTGGAGAGGTGGAAAACCTGCTCGAGTCGTGCATTAAGTTTGGAAATTCAAAAGAACCCCCTATTTACACCCCTGTATGAGCTCTGCTCCACCATCTAGATTTAGCCTCTTGCTGTTTCCGGACGAATTGTTAGGAGGCAATGCTCGATGACCCGAACTGGTGCTTCCTGTTTGAGCGGTAAGCCCCACTGATGATGTGTTTGTGCTGCGGAAGCATGAACCTGGCCAGTTTTAAGACTTAAGTCCGTGTGGTGCAAGCATGGACGTATCACCAGCGAGGCCTGGCCCCCAGGCATCACGCCAGTGATCTGCTACTGTTGCCACAACATGAAAGGCAATCCAAAGAATATACTGAAGTGCATTGCGAATTGTAGAGCTTCTGAACTGATGCAGTTCATTTGTTCGTCTCTTGTTCAATTGTTGTGTTGAATGGTTGCGCTTGCTTGGCCAGTGCTGGAACATGCAGACATCATCACAACACAGTCTGTCAGGGCACAAAGGACAAGTGCACTGTCTGGCAGTCAGTAGCGAGTGTCTATTTAGCGGAGCCCAGGTAGCTTCCCTCCTTCCCTTCTGATTTTCATTTAATTTTCAGATTTTTGTTCCGCCCTTTGTGTCTCATGATCTGCTCATGTCTCTCTGATGCTTGACATCCTCCCCTGTTGTTCCATTGTTGTTCCCCCCCTTTTTACTGTGCATTCCTCTGTGCCCGATCCATGTCCTGAAGGATGCGTCTCTCCTCTTCGTTAACGTCGAGTGTTCACTCCCTTTTTCTATTTACGTCCACTCCCTTTGTCTCCTCTCCCTCTCCGTCGAATGTGATCTTATTTGTTTGCCTTTCCTACTTGTCTTTTACGTATAGTACAAAAAAAAATGGTGTTGCCAACATTCTTGTTGTTGTTGTCATCATATTTCGGCTTCCTGTCTCTCTGGGTCCCAATATATCCTGGCTTTTCTTTTTTAGTAAAACTTGGTACAGATTCCCCCCGCTTCCTGGTAGCTGCATTGTGTGTTGTGGTTTTCTCCCTTTGCCTGTTGGGTTCCTTTTGCCGCCTGCCCCCCTACCCCCCTACCCCCCTCTTTCGTGGTTGATGTAACCACCACTATATATGTTTGTGACTTTTGCTGGCATAGGACGGTTAAGGCCAAATTCAGGTGAGAAAGTACATGCTTGGATGTGATGGCCTGTGGATAAACCATTGGATAAGCATTTGTGCTGGACCAGAGCGGAGTGTGCGACTACTGCCTGTGTGGCGGCTGTCTCTTATACACATCTAGATGTGTATAAGAGACAGCTGTAATGAAACATGACAAACGGTGAGGGGGAGA